GGTGAAACTCGGTTCTCTTCTCATCTACCTTTGTCTATTGTGTGAGACTACTTATCATTGTGTGCGAGTATGATGCATGGCATGTACACACTTGCGTGAGGTGGTCCCCAGGACCCATGCAAAAAACCCTTTTGTAAGGCCTCTATGCCGCCAGTGGTAAGAGTCCCACCAGTATTGAGGCTTTAGCTGTTGGGCTGCTCCATCTATTGGTGGGGAGCGACGCTTGCTGGAAACCAGGTCCAGCGTCCCTTTGATACAACAATGCGGGACAATGTTGGGCCTTTAGCCATTGTTCTTTCTACTTTGGAGCACCCAGTATCCCATGGAGCTGCTAATAGTCCCTTTCCCATTGCGGGGCTCCTACTTCCTTGGAGATTTACCCAAATGATTTACCAGAGACTACTTAAACGACATACAACAACTCAGATATTTACATACAGACTATATAGAAATTGAGATCTATTGAAGAAATCACCCGAATGTTAATTACCAGACATTCCTGTAAAAACTACTAAAAAGTGAAAACCTAATTATCATCCTATTCTTTCTGATGCCTGCCTTTGTTCACTTGGGTATCTCCCCATCCCTGGCTACCACTGGGGTAAGGTAGCAGTTAACTGAGTTCTCCATTTCTAGCCGTTGATCTCGGCAATCTATGGCCAGAAGCGAGGAATTCATGTCAGTGGAACTAGCCCTTGAAGTCGATCAAAGTCATGATCGTCATCAGTGCCATCATCAACATTGTTATCATGATCATCACCATCTTCATCGTCATCATCATCGCCACCATGTTGAGGTTCCAGCTGTTGATGACGTTGATCAATGTGGTCTGACCTCGTTGAATGTGCAGGTGTGTTTGTCGTCACTGGGGTGGCCGCAAAAGACAATGCAGGGCCAGCAGTCATAATAGCTTATTTGGTGGCAGCAGTGTCATCGGTATTGTCCGCCCTGTGCTACACGGAGTTCGCAATTGAGATGCCGGTTGCCGGAGGGGCCTTCAGTTATCTTCTGGCGACGTTCGGCGAGTACCCAGCGTATCTGACGGTGGCAAATGTGTTGCTAGAGTATATGCTCGGGGCTGCAGCTGTCGGTCGCGGATTCACATCGTACGGGGCCACTCTGTTCAATTGGCAACCCAACTCGCTGCGGATAGAAGTGTACGGTACATACATTGACGTTTTAGCGGCACTGCTGGTGCTCTTGCTTACCTTGCTGATTTGCTATGGGACCAAGGACAGCTCCATGTTCAACATCATTGTGAGCCTCGGCAATCTGGCGGCCATAGCCGTTGTCATTGTCATCGGAATAACCAAAGGTGACATAGGCAACATCACCAATGATTTCAACCCTTATGGCGCAGAAGGTGTGGTTGACGCCGCAGCTCTGGTGTATTTCAGCTTCGTGGGTTTTGACGCGGTCGCCACACTCACCGAAGAAGTCGGCAACCCTTCTCGCGATATCCCGATCGGCACTGTTGGCTCCGTCATTATAGTGGCCGTCATATATGCTCTCATGTCCGTGTCCCTGTGCATGATGATGCCTTATCGCAGCATTGACATCGATGCACCCTACCCAGCGGCATTAGACTTCATCAACTGCACATGGGGTAAGTACGTTGTCGCTGTCGGAGCGCTGATGGGTATCTTGACGTCGTTGTTGGTCCTGTTGATAGCTCAATCCCGGGTAGTTCTTGTCATAGGCCGGTCAAATCTTCTGCCCGCCGCCCTCTCGCGCATCAGCTTGAGGTGGAACACACCAGTGATTTCTACGATCGTTCTTGGTGTGATTACTAGCTTCATTGCCTTGTTCATGGATCTTACCTCCTTGTCCAGCATGGTTTCCATTGGCACTCTGTTCGTCTTCATCATGGTGGCCCTGGCACTCATCTACAAACGGTATTATGTTCCTGAGCTTGAGACCACGAGCCCTCATAAGGTACTGCTGCACATACTGTGGATAGTTGCGAGCGCATTTGGCGTGGCCATCTCTTATCATCAGACCTCCGCCGAGCTGAACTACCTCCTGCCCATTTTCGTGGTCTGTTGGGTCACTTCCACTCTGTCGCTGCAGCTGACCACTCGGCAGCAGCAAATCCCACCCGGTTTCGCCGTGCCTTTGGTTCCTTGGATTCCCTCCTTCTCTGTGCTTGTCAACGTTTTCCTAATCACCAGCCTCAACCGTAACGCCTACATCCGAGTTTTGGCTTGGTCCACCTTAGCTACCCTGGTGTACATGTTCTATGGGGTGCACGCGTCACTGCATGCTGACCAGCTGGCTGAAGGATACAATGTGGTGGGCCCAGTCGAGAGTGGGGAGGTTGACCCATATACGTACTCGAGATTGGAAGGCAACAAGGATGATGCCCACATCCCGACAATCACATCCCGCGAGGCTCTCTCATAACTTGTTTGTCTAAAGAAGTACCTGTTTTATTTATTTTGCTACGTTTCTAATGAAGCATATTAGTGGTACATTCGCAATAAATAAACTCGCTTTGCCATAGCATACTAGTGGTACAATGATACTACAATCGCAATTATAAATAAACTGGCTGTGGTTGAACTTAACAGTATAAGGAGATCTATGTCTGCTGCCGCCCTCTGACAACGACATCGGCGTCTGTGATAGTCCAGTACAACCCATTGACCCATATACCCTATTCTTATAGACCTTATCTACCCAATCCCCCTGAAATTCATAAACCTTGCCTCCGCTGATCAAATGGCCGATCCCCTGTGACATTCCACTTTTTATACGCCAACCTGTCGCCCTGAGTCCTGACAATTCCGCCCCAAAATTCCAGAATTTCCTGTCTCCACCCAGAACCACCCCAGTGGAAAAGCCATGGCTAAAATAGATATTGGCATATTGCCGATTAATCCCTCAAACACCAATCCGCTTCTCTTTTCTTGAGAAATTTAGCACAGCACTAGCCAAAAGCTCAAAACATTCATTCGTCACCACTACAACCCTTCGGACACAGATCCAGTTGTGTTGCCTGCGACATTCCAGTACACCAATCTATCCGTGCATTGCAACTCCAAAGGACCTCTCAACCAGCTGACAACTTGACACCCACCCCCCTTCCTCATAGGCCTCCCCCCAGGATACTCCAGTACGACAACCATCCATCTTCATATACCATGAGTGGTATGCGAGTTTTGGCAGTAATGCACTGTATTCAATTTTATTGCACGCAACAAACGACGATAGACAAAAGCCGCAAAACCTATCTGAAAAAAAAACTACTATCCCGACTAATCCACTTTCAGCGCACGAAATTTTGGACCCTTCGTCCAAAAATCAGAAGTTTAGGACGTGATTCATGCATTTTTTTCTGAGAACTGCAGTCTGGTAGTCTGATTTGCTGAGATTTCCAAGTCTGAGTGTGTTTATCTTTGTTCCCTGCGTGTCCAAGAGTCTATATGATGCTTGCTGTGTCCGTGAACTAACTCAAATCCCGTGCTGTGTTTTCTGTGTCTCGGGAGGGGTAGAACAGAATAGATATAGAAATAGTGATAGGACTGAAATTGGAAACCACTTCAAACCAGATCATTTTATAGCATTTATACCTCTCTGATAAATGGCCATGGACTTGCATTTGCCCATGCGTGTCGTGGTAGAGCACCCTTACCCACATTCTGAAATTTGGACCCACCCCCATTCTCTCCATTCATCGCAAAAGGAAATTCCAGTTGACTTGATGGTACGCCTTCTCTAAGTCCAAGAAGAGGATTGCTGCATTGAGTTTCTTATCTTTTAAGTACATTACTGACTCCGTAAGTGTCATAATATCATCTACAATGAACCTGGCCAGGATAAAGCCTGTCTGATCGAGATGGAAACAACCTTGAGTGACGGTACGTAGCCTATTTGCTAGTGCCTTGGCTACTATCTTGTGTGTCAAGACAAGAGAGTGATAGGCCTATAATTCTTTATGTCTATTCGATCCCCGTTTTTTATAAATTTATATATATTAATGTTACTACCCCTGTGGACGGCCACTAGGCTAGTGAAAATTCCCTGGTCAGTCGATCCCTTCCTGGCGTTTTGTTCGGGTTCATTGATTCCAGTGCTTCCTCCAGTTCCTCGTGTGTGATCGGGACATCCAATCTCTGCGGTTGTTCGGGGTTGATGGTACACTGTAGGTCGGATGAGAATTTGGCCCTTGCTTCTCTCATCTGATATCTCTTGCTTGCTCTTGTTCCCTTCAGGCGTACAAATTCCTGTAGAAAGCGTGTGCAATTTTTAGCATCTCCTCTGCCCTTGCTGCTGGTCCGTTTTCCCCCACCAACTGTTCAATCAGCGAATTCCTCCTGTTTGTTTTAATTTTCGGAAAGGAAAATTTGGTCATCCTTTCTCCTTCCTCCCATTCCTTCATCCTTGACCTTATCTGTAGTCCCCTATTTCTCCATCTCTCCCACTCTCCCACTCTCCCAGCTCTGTTTTTGCCTTCTCCAATACTCCTTTGTAAAGGTGGGATCCTGGATTCAACACCGACTTCTTTTTTGCTATTTTGACTGCTTGCTCGAACTCCCTTTCTCGTTCATTTGTGCTCCCAGCGACCTTCCTGCCCAGTTCGCTGATGCCTGCGAGCAGCAGCATTGAGAAGAAGGACCGGACAGCCAACTCATCCAAGCAACATTTTATCTCCAAGTTGGCATGGAAGTATGTTATTAGGAAGAAGGAGAAGGGGGGGTTAGGCATTATTGACTCTGGGCTACAGGCTAAATGAATGGGTGATTAAATTGATAATTAACCACAGGCTGCCATGGGTCCCATTGGCCTTAGAAGTTAGAACGCATTAGGAAATGGCAAAATACAACACTCCACCAAACATGTCCGGACTCTTCTGGCCTGCGTGACTGCGTCTAAAAACTGGGCAAAGAAGGGAAGGGGAGAGGGTAGGTACTAGGAAGGTACAGGGGTCCTGTCCTGAGGGGGGAGGGAAGAGGACTATTGGCATTATTTAATAAAATTGTGGGGAGAAATCTTCCCGTCGAAAGTAAAGGAACCGACAACGAGGGAGGAGGTTCTGTGTGAACCCCTCTTTTGTAACGAATGGATCAAGGATGCAAGAGGAAAACCCAGACCCTATCAGCACAAGATACAAGATGGGTAGCCACATGGGATCTGGCAGGTCAGACACCTGTGGTCGGAGGAGAAAGAAAGACAGCGAGAGAATTGAGAAGGGAGCTAAAGGGGAGCCACAAGGTCCTGGAGAATCTTAACGATGAGCTGATATCAACCCCAACGAAGTGGAAAACGAAGTCCGAGAAGGGTCCTCAATGGGAAAATGGAGATAGGGCAACTTGGCAACATGACGCAGAACCAACAGAAGCATTTCGGGTACGGCAGATGGAGGGACCGCGACAAGAATGGTTATGCACGGACATGCATGAAATCGAGGAACCAGGTGCTACGACCAGCAGGCTAAATCAGGAATCAACGACCCAGGTCTCAATCAAGCAAAGTATGGCAAGAAACGTGAGGGTAATCGAAACCGAGGACTTCACAATCTACTGCCCCACGACGGCACTGGAAGACCTGGAAATAGACCCATTGGAATGGGCATAGAAGCTTGGGGGGTTGGGGAGGAGGGCAGAATGCATGACGTTCAGAATAAATGTACTACAACACTATGAGGCTGTGATACAAACTCAGAATGCGCTCCAATGGCCGGAGGGGCCTCTGCAACAGAGATGGGAGAACTGGATGGGATTCCTCCCGGCACAATTGCAAGGTCTTCGGTGGCCACAGCTGGGTTCTATCAGACTGGGAAAGGTAAGAAGCCTCCAGTGGCTGATTATCTGTATGACTGTACTAGTAAATGTGTGGCTGAACAAACATCGGAGTAAGGAGAACAGGGAGAAAGAGGCAATGAAGCACTGCTTGATTGAATGCCCCCAAGCAAGACCAATTTGGCAAATAGCACAAGATCTGTGGGGTAAGATCTCCAAACTCCATTTCCTGGACAACCAGGTAATGCTACTGCTGGGCTTGGCGGTCCTGAGAGTTTGTTGGTCTCAGTTCCGCCAGAAAAGCTTTCAAATGCTGGGACAGTATGCGCTGTGGACCATCTGGAAGCGGCGCTGCCGAGAGACAATCGAGCAGACACAAATGCACATTCGAGAGGCAAAGGAAATTTATAGGAACCTCATGGAGACTAAAATCTGAGCACAATGGAAGAGGATGCGGGGCTGAGTCAAAGATAACCTGGAGAGAGCCAGCGAAATAAGAAGCAAGTTCGAGCAAGGGGTGCTAGGGAGGGGGAAGGTTGCAGTGACAGAAGGAAGCGGATTCAGATTCACATGGTTGACGGAAGCAAACCGCCGAGGGAGACAAACTGGCCACAGCCAACTTGTGCACCAGGATAGAAACTATTTATCCAATAATTTAGGGATGAAAGAGGGTAGTAGAGAGGGGAGAAGGAATATGACGCACAGAAAGGGAATAGTGGATAGGGGAGGTAATAGGAAAGAGGGGAGGTAGGAGGGATTTAGAGGTAGGTAAGCCTGGACAGATGTAAATCCTATCAGACAAGGGAGCAATCAATGCGTCTGGCCGACAGATAGTAGAGGCGTACTCAATGCATACCAGCGAGAGGGGTGAGCAGTGGTAACCCCTGGAGGCAGGAGTAACCAATGCTGCTGTCTCGGGAACTGTCTCAGGAAACTTCGGCCATAACGGAGGAAATCGGGAGTGTGTTAAGGGACGCTGGAAACGGTTTCTAGCAGGACAGAAGCCCGGAAGGCTACAGTTAACGGAAAGCTAGGGTTTAGGGTTGAAGGTAGATGGAAGGTAAGTACTTCAAGTCATGCTTCAGGAAGAAAAGCCGAAGCTGGGTAATGGCCTGAGTACGCCGAGTTGAGATGTGGGAGGGATTCTCGCCCTCCGATTGTTATGAGATAATAAAATTACTGTTCTTTAAAATAAAAAATAACAAAAGATTGGACGCCAGATGGACTTAGAGCCTTTAGAGGATTTTTTTTTTTCCTTCTTTTTTAAATCAAAGTTGGACTAAATCTACTAGTGATGGTGATGCAAGCTAGGGTTTTAGGGTTTAAGGTAGATGGAAGATAAGTACTTCAAGTCATGCTTCAGGAAGCAAAGCCGAAGCTGGGTAATGGCCCCAGTACTCCGGGTTGAGATGTGGGAGGGATTCCCAGCCTCCGATTGTTATGAGATAATAAAATTACTGTTCAGGCGGTAGCGTAAACCAGTTCCGGAAGACCAGTTGGAAGTCCTTGAGAGGACCTCCTGTTTCTTCCACCCCTGGCCATTGCACCTCCCCCAGGGACCGCTCTGTTGATTCCCCCAGCCAGTCTTTTGTGAACTTTTGAATTGTTTGATTTATGCCCTTTATTTGTGTCAACCTGTTCAATTTCTGTTTAGTAACCTCCCAATGGGCTCTAATTTCTGTTCGGGCAAATTGTACTATGTAATCTGTCAATTCAGCACCCTCCAAGGTTACCGCTTCTCTCTCACGGATGCAACGTTTATACCACAGGGACCGTAGGATAGCTTTGCGACCAATGTCAAAGAGGTTAGATTGCAAATTGGTGAGTGCGAAAAGAATGAGAACCCAATGCCCAAATTGGATAGCCCTTCAGTCCCAAGGCCAATCCACCCCTGATAGTCGCCTCCAAACACAGTCCCAGCACCTCCAGATGAGCACAGATCCTCGACATTGCAGAAAGATATACTCCATACAATCTAGGACGGACAAGGACACTCTAGCGATCTTCCAGCTCGAAAAGACGTTTTCCAGGAAGTCGGTTCGGTTTAAATGGTTGGTTACTCTAACGAACTTCCAGCTCAAAAATACATTTTTTCTTGTATCAAACCAGACCCTGCGGCAAAAATGCAGCATACCTATGGGCGGGCGGACGAGCCCTGCACTGGCCTATGTTTTGTGTATGTACTGAGTATCTGTTCCTTAGCTCGCTGGGGGATAGTGTGAGATTCATAACGGGGAAAAGGCACATTGATGATTTCTTCATCATGACTTTTTTCTCCAGAAATGACCCTGATGGGAGAAGGGTAGCAAATGAATGATTGGATAAAGTACTTAGTACTTACCAGCTATCCGAAAGGCCTGAAACTTGGGAGGACGGACCCTCAGTTGGGAGTACTGGACTTCCTTGAAACCAGGCTGGTTGTTTCCGAGGCAAAGGCAGTAATTCTGATGTCACACAGGTTCAAGAACACAACGAAAATCTGGGATGAGGGGACCCTAAGATACCCTACCTACAAAAACTTCTCCTTGTATGGGCCAAAGGCGGCCACATGCAATTGACGATACAGTCCAACGCATCGCCAAGAACACCAACGACGACGGCCTGATTTGTTGGAATGTGCTCACCCTGCAGGAGGAACTCAAGAAACTGAGCATCCCAGATAGCACGGTAAAAGTTGGCATCAGGTGGATAAAGAGGCGTGACAACCGCGAACTATGGGATCGGGTGGCCATATTGAATAAATCAATGAAGTGATAACGTTTTCCGACTCCAACGGCTTTCAATCAGACTCTGAGCGAGCCCCAATATGAGACAGGTGATGACCAGTTGACTATTCCATTATTGCGCTAATCGGGATCATGGCACCGTGAAGGTGAAAAGCAGAACGTTGCTTTGTCGTTTTCCAAGATTACGTATGGTAATTGCAGTGCAGATTAGACTCCGCTTTTCTCCTTTTCTTTTTCGAGTAAACAGTTATGAGCTATCCTGGTGGTACCGCACCCTGTAGAAGACAAAGGGGCCTACTGAATTCGAGGCCTTCCAATTTTTCTCAATTTTCAATAGCGACTCAAGGGGGCACTGTGGACTTCAAGGTACTCGACCCATAGCTATAGGGGCCTACTGGATTCAAGCCTTTCAAGGCCTTTTTTGATTTTTCAAAATTCGCTCAGATTCTGTGGAGTACAGGGTAACCGGAATTTTGCCGAATGCATACCTGCGCTAACGGATGAAATAGGACATAGACTAGGAGTACGCTAGTATAAAAAAGCAGAACGCGGTAGTAGGAATCCTGAATCTGAGTGGTGTATGAGCAGAAGGGTTGGGTTCTTTGACAGTGTACGTCGAGGATATGACGGGAGGAAGTTGATTGCACCATGATAGTAAAGCTCATATCATCTTCTTCTTCAATTTGAGTTGTGTCATTGTCTTCAGGCCTAGCAAGGTCTGCCTGCCTCCGAATAGGTCATGATGGTCAGGGGCCTGTATGTAGGTGGATATAAGGTTAGGTTCAGGCCCTGGAGGTGACTTACGAGCTGCAATGATGTTCCCACCAAAAGGGAGGAACTTGCAGCAGGACTTAGTGCATCAGCAGAGGCTGAGAGTGCCCAGTAGAGGTACTGGAGGCCGATGCTTGGCAGGTAGAGAGTCATCAATAAACCATTTAGGGCAACACGTATTCCGTGGATTCACCGAATGCCCGACATGCAGCTGCTTGGCCCTGAGGGAGAGCTAGGTGGAGCTCTGGGTTGAAGAAGGAGTCGTCGAGGGTGAGAAGAAGACCTCATGGAGTAGCAGTAGCAGAAGAGAGTAAGCCTAGACTATGGAGACAAAGGGGCAAGAACCTAAAGGTAAGGCTATGGACGAACATGGAAGAGGTGAGTAGAGGTAGAGAAGAAGGAAGAAGAGGGTAACCTACAAGGGAGAACTACTTTTGGCTATGGTGGAGCTTCATCTGCACTTCCTTGGTTGGTGCTGTATCTGGAAGGCCTCTGTTGTACCGGTTGGACATGGACTTCATCCGACAGTCTGGTCATGGCAGAATGAGATGTAGGACGCATGATAGTAGTGCGTCGCCCATTAGACATGCATTTTGGACATGGAGGAGCCGCAGATATGCAACCTTGAGTAGAGGAGCGAGAGTGAGGCCTACAGGAGATCCCTTTGAGTGCTGGCAATACGGGGGATTATTTGGACATTGATTCTAGACTTTCTAATTCATTCATTCTTTTGTTCTTGTAGTTGTCTGCCAGAGGAGGAGAAGATTATGTGAGGATGGTGAGGAGGAGGTGACCTCTTTTTCTTCTTTTTTTTGTGGGACAATGTTCCAATCTCTTTGTGGGCAGCGACACATGCTGGGAACCGGGCCCAGTGTCCCTCATGAGAATACAGAAAACAAATTGAGATACCGGGGCCATTACCCGGCTTCGGCTGAGGACAATTTGGAAGGTTGAGGGAAGTTCAGGAAAATTTGTGACCACTACTAACCTACTGCAGTAAATTCTGCTGAACATTTCACACAGGAACTATGAGAGGATGCCGGCCTGCAGAAAGCCATTGAATACATTTGCCATTATCGTGTGCTGTTCTAGGTGAATACCCAAAACAGACCAAACAGAGACCTCCGCCGACGCAGCCATATTCACAGAGAAACCAATCCTGTGTAGTTCTTCTTTTTTCCTTCTCTTTGTCTATTTCCATTGCTTCTTGAGTAGCAAGAAATTGCATTATCTCAAAGTTGAGTCATGCATTGTGAATTGAGCAGAATACCAGAATCGTAAAACTATCAAAATCCCCTTCCTTTTTTTTTCCCTTTTTTTCTGCGGACGAACCTTGCGGTATGGGAACTTTGGACGCCAGGCTCATGCAATCTTCTACAGGCCCAATATCAGAGTCTACCCAGCAGGAGTACCTATGCAAAGCAAGCTGGCGCCCACGGACACATCCTACCATCCTTCCCCTATCTTAGCCAAGGCTAGGCGGAACTCAGACTACCCGGAGCGACTTATATTCGTACACTACCCTAGAGTCTAAGCCATGGATGAGAGACCCCGTCATGTACCTCTTAGTACCCCCTTGCATGGTATTATAGTTTTTATGTATATGTGTGGCCAGAAGCTATGTATGTATGAGCCCGTAGGCTATGTGTATGTCCACAAGCCACGTTTGTGTATGGCCTAAGGCTATGTATGCTCTGTGTATAACTGCATAGGAATATGTATGTGCCCAAAGACCAGATATGTGCAGTAACGAAGGCTATGTATGCTCTTTGTAACTGCATAGGAATATGTATGTGCCCAAAGGCCAGATATGTGCAGTACTATGTAGAGGGAACTATGTGTTCTTTGAAGAGATGATAGGTCAAGCTGGGCAAGAACCCCCAAAAGTCTCAAGCCAGACTTGAACCCGTGATCTATGACATGTGATGGGAAGACTCTACCATAAGAGCAACAATTGCAAACGTGATCTATGATATGTGACTGCAAGACTCCACAGTATCGCAAATGGCACCTATGTGTGATATGCAAGACAGGGGAGATCGACACAACAACCACGACCAATAGCGACAAGCAACCCACACAGCATCGAGACCCTACATACAACACTCTGGACAACCCTTGGGTGGTGCGCAGGCAGTGTCTGTGTCTGTAATAGCTTACCCTCCGGTGTCTCTGCGTGAAGGTGTGGAGTTTTGAACCCACACCCTCAGACCACAATGCGCATTGACAACTGGTGCCCTAACCACTGAGCCACAGGCCACATGCATCGAAATCCCCTTCTCTGCCATTCATTTGCAATTTTTTTTCCGAAAGGGCGATGGCCTTGAGATATCAACGTGCAATTGACTGGGCCCAGGTAATTCGGGATTATTTTATGTCATTAATGTTGTTCCAGCTAGACTCGCACTCAGGTCAGTAATACTCTGTCTTTCTTTTTTTTCCCTTCTTTTTCTTTTTTTCCAAAGGAAAACAAGCCCCTGCATATTTCTGGGGGAACCAGTCCGGTTGCTTATCACCGGCAAGCACGGAAAATACAAGGATCAGAGAGCCAAGAAACATATGCTCTTAAGGTTACTAGCGGGCAGCGGGAGACTAGTTGAAGTACCCAGATCCTGCCCAGTAAACAGTAAAGAAGCTACGAAACCATCTGCCCTACCTTGTTCTTCCTTTAAACCTGATAATTAAGAAACTCAGAAAAAGGAAACCATGAAAGGAAAAAGACGATAAAGGAAAAGCACAGAACATGCTGGACAAACTTCTGTTATTTTGACTTGCTGGGGGAATAAGAA